TTCGGGGTCTTTTTTAGTTCCATATGAACTTTTGAAGTATTTTTTCTATTTCTGTCATTGGTTTTTTGATGGGGATTGCACTGAATCTATAGATTGCTTTGGGTATTATGGACATTTTAATGATGTTAATTCTTCCAATTCATGAACAAGGTGTGTACTTCTACTATTTTATATCTTTCTCTATTTATTTTTTCAATGTCCTATAGTTTTCTGCAAATAGGTCCTTTACTTCTTTGGTTAAGTTTATTCCTAGGTATCTTAATTTTTTTGCTGCAATGGTAAATGGGATTTTTTTTTTAGTTTCTCTTTCTGTGAGTTCATTATTTTTGTATAAGAATGCCATTGAGCCCTGGCCAGTTTGGCTCAGCTGTTAGAGCGTCGGCCTGCGATCCTGAGAGACCCGGGTTCGGTTAAACTCGGTTGAAGTTTGTCCCCAGCCCTGGTTGGGTCACGTGGGTGGCAACCACTCGATGTGTCCCTTTCACGTCGATGTTTTTCTCTCTCTCTCCTCCCACTCTATCTGAACAAAATATCAAAAAATGTCCTTGGGTGAGGATTAAAAAAAAAGAAAGAATGCCGTCGATTTCTTTTTTTTTTTTAATCCTCACCTGAGGACATTTCTCCATCTTTTGTTCAGGTAGAATGGGAGGGAGAGAGAGGAAGAGAGAGAGAGAGAAACATCCACTCGAAAGAGACACATTGAGTGGCCGCCACCCGCACGACCAACCAGGGCCGGGGACAAACTGCAACCGATGCATGTGCCTCTAGTGGGAACCGAATCTGGGTCTCTCTGGACTGCAGGCCGACGCTCTAACTGCTGAGCCAAACTGGCCATGGCCGATTTCTTTATGTTAATGTTGTATCCTGCTACCTTGCCGAATTAGTTTATTAAATCCAGCAGATTTTTGATTGAGTCTTTAGGGTTTTTTATGTATAATATCACGTCATCTGCAAATAATGACAGTTTCACTTCCTCCTTTCCAATTTGGATCCCTTTTATTTTTTCTTCATGTCTGATTGCTGTGGCTAAGACTTCCAGTACTATGTTAAATAAGAGTGGTAAAAGTGGACATCCCTGTGTTGTTCCTGTTTTTAAGGGAAATGCTTTTAGTTTTTGCCCATTGAGTATGATGTTGGCTGTAGGTTTTTCATATATGGCCTTTATTATGTAGAGATGATTCCTCTATTCCCACATTGCTGAGCATTTTTATCAGAAATGGGTACTAGATTTTGTCAAATGCTTTTTCAATGTCTAAATTGACATGATCATATGATTTTTATCTTTCATTTTGTTTATTTGGTGTAGCACATTTATTGATTTGAGAATATTGTACCAGACTTGCATCTCTGGGATGAATCCCACTTGGTCATGGTGAATAATTTTTTTAATGTATTGCTGGATCTGATTCGCTAGTCTTTTGTTCAGATTTTGGCATATATGTTCATCAGGGATATTGGCCTGTAGTTTTCTTTCTTTGTAGTGTCTTTATCTGGTTTTGGAATTAGAATTATGCTGGCCTTATAAAACAATTTTGGAAGTCTTCTTGAATTTTTTGGAATAGTTTGAGGATAATGGGTGTTAGTTCTTTAAATGTTCAGTGAAACTCCGCCAGAAAGCCGTCTGGGCCTGGGCTTTTGTTTGCTGGGAGAGTCTTGATTACCTCTTCAATTTCCTTAGTTGTTAGTGGTCTGTTCAAGTTTTCTCTCTTTCCAGTTTAGTTTTGGGATACTATGTGTTTCTAGGAATTTGTCCATTTCGCAATCTGTCCAATTTGTTGCCATATAATTGTTCATGGTATTTGTTAACGATCCTTTGTATTTCTGTGGTGTCAGTTGTTACTTCTCTTTCATTTATGATTCGGTGTGTTTCTCATCAGTCTTTTTGGCCCAAACTCCTCTGCCACCTTTGCCTGTCCATGTGCTTCCCGTTTCTAATTCCTATTTGCTATCCCACTTCTACTACTCTCATGCTTTTCTTGTGTTCATTTACTTGCTTTTCCCGAGCACTGACCTTGCATGAGAGCCAATGCTGGCAGTTTGGGGAGAGACAGACATGAGTAAGGCAGGTCTTGCCTCCAATTTACCCATCCTTTCCTTGGTTTTACTTGGGGTCCTAACCTCAGAGAGAATCCAGCCTGGGATTTCAGGCCAGGTCTGAGTCCCAGCTCTGTCTCTCAGGTGGTGGCACACAGGGTAAGGTTCTTCCACTTTCCAGGCCTTGGCTCCCTTGCCTGGAAAGGGGGATGATAACTCCTGCTGCCTCCTTCTATGCTGCTGTGAGAACGGAGGGGAGTCCTTTGGAGAGCACTGCTCTTTTCTGCACCCTCTCTATTCTCTGATCCTCCTACTGCCCTGGTGAAGTGGGCTGTTTCTCCAGCTCTCCCGGCACAGCTCACATCCTGCCTTGGGCCTCGTTTTAATACCTGTGTCTGTTTCCCCACCTAATGGCAATCTTGATCATGAGGACCAAGTCTGCCTGATACAGAGGGGATGTCAGTGGATAAGAACTGGATGGGATGGTGCTCAAGGCCCCGACCAGTCCCTGCATGCAAGCCATGCTCAAGCCTTCTTGTACAGGCTCCTGCATGCATCACTGTGTCTACTTTTGCTACCTGAGAGCCTTGCCTGGCCTGTGCCCTACTCCTCTTCACTTGTATTAAAGCACCCACTTGTGTAGCCAAGATTAATCCTGCTTCTTCCAAGGAGTCAGCCATGAACACAAGAGCTGTGGCTTCCTGATGTCTCTTTTCTGGGCATTGGAAGTCCTTGTAGAACCATCTACATAGACCCTGAATGAAGCTGAGCATCCTGGGAGTGTCTTGTCTGCCTCTCTGCCCTCTCCCTGCCTGTGATCACAAGCTTGAGGCCCCAACATGCCATGCACTGGGTGGGTCCAGATGTTCAGAGAAGAGAGGTTCTACTGATGTCTTCTCAGTCTATCTAGCTGCTTTCCTACCTGTCTGTTCTCTCTCCTCCCTCATATAGACCCATGGCACCCTTGTGTGGGGTTTGTGCCACCCACATAAAACAAAGTGCCCCTAAAGTGACAGCTCTCTGCCATGAGAATGAATTCCCCTTCAAGGTGGGATTCTGTGCCTCCTCATCAAAATGGAGGCTTCCTGAGACCGGAACCAGGCCTCATTACCTGTTTCCCACTTCCCAGAACACCCACCACAGGCCCAAACATGCCCCAGTGGAAGGACAGATACCTGGCATTGAGGGCAGGGCAAAGTATAAGAAACCAGCCTTAAACCCAGGCTCCTTGCATGTAAGGCGCCTGAGCTCATGGCTGAGCTGAAAGGCAGTCAGCACGGCGTCCTCACTGGCCAGCGAGAGGTGGGCCCTGCTGGAGATGCCACAGTGGGTGTTGTGGGACAGGGAGAACTCCAGCAGATCTCATCGGCGGGCTGCTGCACTCCAGGCAGGCGTGGGAGACGGGGTGGGGCTGGGCGATGGTATGGCCCAGGTCCAGGAGTAGCTGTGCTATCTCATACAGGTCCTTCTGGCAGGCCAGGGTGAGTGAGTGTTGTGACACCAGGTGCACAGCAGGAGCCATCAACTGATGGATGAGTCAATGGAAGCCAGGGAAAAAGACCTGGTGTCCACTTTGTGGCCCATCTCCCATTCCCGCTGGGCCGGCAGGCACTGACCACTGCTGGCTGGTTTGTGCCCACTGTCACTAGCAGTGCCTCGTGATCTGCTGGAAGTCAAACTTGACATTGGCCAACAGCACATCAGTGATGTTCTTGTGGCCCAGGCAGGTGGCCAGACTGAGAGCTTCCCTCCAGGAGTGGTCCTTGGGCTCCTCATTCCACAGGGACCCCCCTGGCCCGCCGCCTGTGGCCTTGACTTGATTCTAGTAGCTGCTGCACGAGGCCCAGCTGCCCTTTCTGGATGGCATCCAGGAGTGGAGGTGGGAACTTCAGCTTTTTGTTCCCGATCTTGGTCCAGTTAGGTTGCGGCTGGGTAAGAGAGTGAGAGGGTGGGACTCAAGTTTCCAAACCCCTTTGTTTTGGGGCTTTCCTCACCTTCCTACCTCCAAGCCTTTAACCCTCTATCCCCAGACACTTGCTACTCTTCCTTGTCCCAAACACATACTAACAAAAATGTTCTTAGTCACCATTTTATTATGTGGGTTCTCAGGTTAGAATAGTGCCAGGACTGAGTCTGACTGGGCCCCCTCAGCATGACTTCTGTCCTCACAGGAACCCACACACAGTGGGGCCAAATGTGTGCACTGAGAAAGGGGAGGGTATGACAGGGAACACACGGGCTGCCCTGGGAGCCTAACCCCAACAGACACACAGAATCTGAGCAGAACTCAGCTCCCACATTGTTGACTTCGTCTCCCAGGTGCTAATCCCTCTGGAAGTCCCCAAGCCTCTGACGGACAGGTCCAGACATGTCCACATAGGAGGCTTTTTTTTTTTTTTAAATTTTTTCCCCTTTATTGATTCCAGAGAGAGAGATAGAAACATCCATGAGAAAACATCAACTGACAGCCTCCCGCATGCCCCTTACTGGGTATCGGGCCCACAACCTGGGCATGTGCCCTGACCGGGAATCAAACTGGTGACCTCTTGGTGCACGAGTCAATGTTCAACCACTGGGCCACACTGGCGGGACCCACATAGGAAGCTTTTTGAACTGGTCTATTCCCAAGCCCCTCAGTTCTTGTAGCAGAATCCCAACATACTCCTCCTCCACCACAGTCTCCCCACACCCCAGCTTTGCCCCCTCCTGAAGCTCCTCCTGTGTGGGGCGCTGTTTCCCCCCTCAGTGCTGTAGGCCCCTCTTCTACCAGGCCCAGCCCGTTCTCATTGCTCTTCTATTTTGGGTCCAGGCTCAGTGTTCCAAGGGCTCCATGTGGGGATGTCCACCACCTGCATGGTAGCTAAGATGTCCCTGACGCCCGGCTTGGTCAATCTATTGTTTTAGTCATGGCCAGAAATGGGACCAGGATGGGAGAAGGTAGGGGAGCAGAAGTCCTCTTACCATGAGGGGGTCCATGGCTGCACCCACCTATGCTGTGAGGTGAGGATGATTCCCACTGTATCCAGACAGACAGAACTCCTGCTCTGTCTGCTCCCGTGTGTCCAGCTGCCTCCTTCCTGTCCATTTAAAACCCTGCCTCAGGCCCTCTGTTTGCCAGGACCAGCTGCTCCCCCTCAGCTCTCTACCCTGGAGACCAGGGGAACTGATGTTAGTGCCACACAATGAAATCTTCTGGGAAAGGGGAGAGAGAACAAAGTTGTTCAAAAAAGGTGGGAATAGAATTAAGCTGGAGGGGACGTTAGAGACCTTTTGTCCAACTGCCTCACTATACAGGTGGGGATGAGGACTTGCCCATCGTTCCACAGCCAAGCCTAGAGCCATTCCTTAGACACTAACCCATATGAACCCTATGATGGTTCTGTGAGCAGGACAGGAGTTTTATCTGTTACTGAGGGTTAATTCTGGGCCCAAGATAAATAACTTGCTTAAAGTCACACAGCAACACGGTTACCTGATTATATCTAGAAAGAGAACCCACAAAATACACGGAGAGTTAAGTTTATAGGATGCTGGATGTCAGTCTTTGCTCAAAAATCACCTTCCCAGGACAACATAGGATCTTATTTATCAGGCAGTGCTTCTTTTCACAGGGCCTCAGTTTTCTTGTCAGGAAAATGGGCACAAGGATGCATACCGTGACTCACTAGGGGAAGACATCAGGACTGTCCCAAAGCCCTAGAGACCACCAGTTCTACCCGAGTTCCAAAAGGGAAAGGATGAAGCTGTCCTTGGGAAAATAAGGTGTCATGGTCACAGAAGCCTTGACAACTGGGAGTGGGGAGCAGGCTGGGCCCAGAGGTGCCATCAGGCAGAGTCCTGAGGGAGTGAGTAGAAGAAGGCAGAGAGAGCGTTTGGCCTCATCAGCTCTGCTTAGCTGTCAAGATATCCCCAGTTTTAGTCACAGAGAGCAAGGGGGCCAAACCACAGGACCTCAGGGCTCACATCTGAGGGACCTCCCCACACACGCTGGCATGTTCTTCTACTTCTCCTGCTGAGAACTGCCACTGGCAGATGGGGCACTGGACCCAGGAAATGGGTGATGAGCTCTCTGAGGAGGACACCCACACAACAGATGGCGATGAAGGTGATGATGAAGAGGGAGAGGCTAGGTGAGGTGGGGAGGTCTCTCCACAAGTGGCAGCGTGCTGGGGAAGAATCTCAATGTTGAAGGAGCCTAAGTGGGAGAGAAAGGGTAAGCAAAATTGGGCCTGCTCCCAGGAAGGAAGCCACCCCAAGCAGCCTCTCAAACTGCAGCTGTTTTTGTAGGAACTGAATATTTTACAGAGACACTAAACATTCACCCAGTGTTTACTTGTGCCTGACACTGTGCTAGGAGCTGAGGCATGTTAACCCAGGCCCATCCTTACGGACTGTAGAGTTAGGGGTAAAGATAAGCTATGACCACAGGCAGCTGTGATACAAAGCAGAGGTGAGAAGTGATAAACCCAAGTGAATAGGAGAATGCTACTGGAGCTCAATTGGGAGAGATTGAGATTAGGAACTTGGCAAATAAGTAACATTTGAATAGAGTAAGTAGAATTTGAACACAGGAAAATGTTACAAGCCCTGGCTGGTTTGGCTTAGCGGTTAGTGCATCAGCCTGTGGACCAAAGTGTTGCAGGTTTGATCCCCGGCCCCAGTTGGGGTCATGCAGGAGGCAACCAATCAATGTGTCTCTCTCACAATGATGTTTCTCTCTCCGCCCCCTCCTGCCTCCTTTCCACTCTCTTAAAAACAAAAAAAACACCCATGGAAAAATACCATGGGTAAGGATTAAAAAAAAAATTTGGCTGGTGTGGCTCAGTGGTTGAGCATTGATCCATGCACCAAGAAGAGTTCACGCTGGTTTGATTACCGGTCAGGGCACCTGCCCAAGTTGTGGACCCAATCCCCAGTGGGGGGCATGCAGGAGGTGGCCAATCGATGTTCTCTCTCATCAATGTTTCTCTCTCTCCCTCCCTCTACCTTCCTCTCTCTCTAAAAGCAATAAAGAAAAAAAGAATTAAAAAAAAAGAAAATGTTATGAAGGAAATTCTAAAGCTCTCTTTGATAGTATATTTTTGCATGTCTTTTTTCAGTAGTTTATTTGTAAAGATATTTTTAAGTATTCTACCAGCTCCAAATGAGCCAAGTTTCATAAACAATTTTTTTTAAAATCCCCAGCCAAGGATATTTTTACATTTATCTTCAGACAGAGTGGGGGGGGGGGGGGAGCACTGATGTGAGAGAGACACATGGATTGGTTGCCCCCACATGACCCCAATCAGGGCTGGGGACGAACCGTAACTGAGGTATGTGCTCTTGCTGGAATTGAACCCAGTACTCTTTGGTCCGCATGCTGACTCTCTAACTGCTGAGCCAAACCAGCCAGGGCTCATAAACAATGAGAAAAAAATCTGATCGTGTTTTGTATGTTTTGACATGGCCCCGTCTCTTCCTCAGCTTGGCCAATATAATGTGAGCAGGTGCTCAGTATACACTTATATGTAACTGCACAGCAGAGGCTAGGAATCCAAGGTCAAATGTTCCTGGCAGCATTCACAGATCTCCCATTCCATCCTCAAGGGATGCTTGCAGTCCCACCAACGCCTGTGCCCCAGCAGCTTACCTGCACAAATGGGGCACTCTGCACTATCCTGGACACGGCCTGTTTGGGTCTGGGGTTGGTGGTGTTCTCTCTGCCCTGCCTTTGCTCTCCCCCTCCTGTTTCGCTGAGAGTTCGAGTTGGATAAAGGCCTGTGAGAAAGAACAGTTAAAGATCAACTATTAGCAAGAGGCCACAGGGCTGAAGGAACCTTAAATTAGGGTGAAAAAAATGTAGGCTAAGTGATGTGGAGCCAGAAGCTCTGAGTTGGAGTCCTGGTTTTCCCATTTGATGTATCAGATTTTAGGGAAGTCATTTAACATTTGAACATCTGAGAACAGAGCTTCTATTACTACCTTTTGATTTATTATTTTTTTTATTGAGATATATGCACACCCCCCAAAAATTTATCCTTTCAAAGTATACTAGTCAATGGTTTTAGAATATTCACAAAGTTACATAAGCACAGTAACTATAGAATTTCACATTTTTGTCACCTCCAAAAGAAACTCTGAACCCATTAGTAGTCACTCCCCATTCTTCTATCTCCACAGACCCTGTATACACCCAGTAGATCTTCTCTGGAGAAAAACCTATTCAGATTCTTTTTTTTTTTTTTATCCTCACTTGAGGACATTTTTCTATTTCTTGTTCAGATAGAGTGGGAGGGAGAGAGAGGAAGACAGGAAGAGAGAAAGAGAGAGAGAGAGAGAGAGAGAGAGAGAGAGAGAGAGAGAAACGTTGACGTGAAAGGACACATCGAGTGGTTGCCACCCGCGTGACCCAACCAGGGCCAGGGACAAACTGCAACCGAGGTACGCGCCCTTAGCAGGAACCGAACCCAGGTCTCTCTGGACCGTAGGCCTATGCTCTGACCGATGAACCAAACTGGCCAGGGCCTATTCAGATTCTTTGTCCATTCTTAATTTTTTTTTTTCTTTATTGAGGTTAGAGAGAGAGGAAGGGAGAGAGAGAGATAGAAACATCGATGAGAGAGAACATCAATTGGCTGCCTCCTGTAAGCCCTCCACTAGGGATTTGGCCCACAACCTGGGCATGTGCCCTGACTAGGAATCGAACCAGTGTCATCTTGGTGCATGGGTTGATGCTCAACCACTGAGTTACATCGGCTGGGCTCTTTGTTCATTTTAAAAATTAGGTTTTTTTATTGTTGAGTTACAAGGGTTACTTATATATTCTAGATACAAGTCCCTTATCAAATGTATAATTTGGAAGTATTTTCTCACGTATTCTGTACGTTCATCATTTTTTTTTTTAAATCCTCCCCTGAGAATATTTCTCCATTTATTTTCAGACAGAGTGGGAGGGAGGGGTAGAGAGAGAGAATCACTGATGTGAGAGAGACACATTAATTGGTTGCCTCCTGCATTACTCTGACCAGGGCTGGGGACCAAACCACAAACGAGGTACATGTCTTTTTTTTTTTTATCCTCACCCGAGGACATTTTTCCATCCTTTGTACAGATAGAGTGGGAGGGAGAGAGAGGAAGAGAGAGAGAGGGAAACATCAATGTGAAAGGGACACATCGAGTGGCCGCCACCCGTACGACCAACCAGGGCCGGGGACCAACTGCAACAGAGGTACATGCCCTTAGCGGGAACCGAACCCGGGTCTCTCCAGACCGCAGGCGGACGCTCCAACCGCTGAGCCAAACCGGCCAGGGCACGAGGTACATGTCTTGACTGGAATCAGACCCGCGACTCTTCGGTCTGTGGGCCGACTCTCTAACTGCTGAGCCAAACCAGCCGGGGCTGTGAGTTCATCTTTTTATTGATATTGTCCTCTGAAGCAGAAAAATATTTAAATTTTAATGAAGTTCAAGAAGTACAGTATACTCAGTTTCAAATTCTGGTTCACTTACAGGGCTACCTCCTTGCCTTAGCTCCAAGCCTGACAATACATGGACAAGGACATCTATTCTCTACTGCCCACTAGCTCCAGACCATGACATCAAGACTCAGACACAGGGTCCTCTCTGACCTAACTAAAACATGAGTGGGAAGGACAGGTGAAGAAGGGCAGTAAAGTCCTGGCCGGTTTGGCTCAGCAGTTAGAGTGCTGGCCCATGGACCGGAAAGTCCCGGGTTTGGTTCCCCCTAAGGGCACGCACCTCGGTTGCAGTTTGTTCCCGGCCCCAGTTGGGATCGTGTGGGTGGCAACCGCTTGATGTGTCTCTCTCACGTTGATGTTTATATCTCTCTCTTCCTCCCTCTCTCCCTCCCGCTCTACTTAAAGATAAATGCAAAAATGTCCTCAGGTGAGGATAAAAAATAAAAAGAAGAAGGGCAGTAAGGTTTGGGGAGGTGATTTGGGTTTTTCAGGTTGACCTACTTACCTGCGGGCTTGAACTTTCTGTCTCTTTGTCTTGCCCACATCATTCTCTGAGTTTCGATCCTCAGGTCTGGGCTCTGTGTGAGAAATGCTCAGTCAGTCTAGCTCATTAACAAAAGGGCCTTCACATATGATGTTCCCTTTCTATCTATCTATCTTCTTTTCCTAGTTATTCTCACTCTTTAAGTCTTAGAGGAAATGCTAATTCCTGTGAGGAAGTTTCTCTGGGTTCTCTAATCTAAATCTGGTCATCCTATCCTGCTTTGTCTTTGAAGCACTTGTCACAGTTTTTTTTTTTAATCCTCATTCGAGGACATTTTTCCATTTTTTGTACAGACAGAGTGGGAGGGAGAGAGAGGAAGAGAGAGAGGGAAACATCGATGTGAAAGGGACACATCGAGTGGCTGCCACCCGCACGACCAACCAGGGCCAGGGACAAACTGCAACCGAGGTACGTGCCCTTAGCGGGAACCAAACCGGGTCTCTCCGAACCGGGTCTCTCCGGACCGCAGGCGGACGCTCTAACCGCTGAGCCAAACTGGCCAGGGCTTGTCACAGTTTTAAGATTTAGATTTCCTGTGTGATACTGACACCTGTCTCTCCATTAGAGTGGGAGCATTGCTGTTTTGTTTACTGTGATAACCCTGGCACCTAGCACAGAGCCTTGCACAGAGATGTTCAATAAATGTGTCAAGTGAATAATAACAAAACCCGGCAACAACCATTTATCTGGTTATTCAGAACTTACGAAATACCGTGTTTGGATTTAATAGGTTTCAAAGTGCTTTCATAGCTCCAGTGCCCAGCCTGTAGAATACCTAAAAAAGTTTAGTTTCCTTTCCATTTTCTATCCCTTAAAATAATAAACTACAGTATGCAGCAGGCAGCTTCTGAAGTGACTCCCACTGATTCCTTCCTCCTGGTATTCATACCTCCTGCAGAGTGTGGGCAGGACGAGTAACTCGTTCCCAATGAATAGAATTTGGCAAAAGTGATGAGATGTCACTTCTGTGATTAGGTTACAAAAGACTGACTTCTTTCTTGCTAGGACTCTCCCTCTTGCCCTCTAGCTTGTTCACTGGTGAAGTAAGCTGCCGTACTGTGAGATGCTCTATGGAGAGGCTCTCGTGGCAGAGGAACTAAGAGGAGCCTCAGCCCACGAGGAACTGAACCCTACCAGCATGCATGGAAGTGAGCTAGGGAGCAGATCCTTGCCAGGTGAGCCTTGAGATGACTGCAGCCTTGTGACACACCCAGAGCCAGAGGACCTAGTTAAAACACACTTGGATTCCTAACCACGAGAAACTATGAGATAATAAATATTGTTTTAAGCCACTAAATGTTGGGGTAACTTGGTATGTAACAATAACCAATGTACCCTATTTTTGCAATAAAATGATATATTTATTATTTCATTAATTTGTTCAGTTCTTTGGAATGACAGATAAACCATTTCCTTTAAAAAATTTTCACAGTGGCTGACCAGTGTGGCTCAGTGGATTGAGCGTCATCCCATGGACTGAGAGGTCCCAGTTTGATTCCTGGTTGGGGCACATGACTCAATACATACTGGGGGGCGTGTAGGAGGCCAATTGATGTTTCTCTCTGACATCAATGTTTCTCTCTCTCCCTTCCTCTCTTAGAAAAGTCAATAAAAACATATTTAAAAAAATTCTTTTTCCAGTGAAGCAATGATTGAAACCAAGGCTTTTCAAAGAGAACTCTGCTTGTTTTCTCTCTCTTGCTATCTAGAACAGTAAGAACAAGAGCTCTGGGGTTCGCATCCTGGTTCTGCCACTTATTAGCTGTGTGTCTCAGAATACTTTACTTCTCTGAATCTCGGTCTCCTTTGCAAACTGAGTATAACAGTATCTACTTCGTAAGTCTGTGGTGGACATTAAATAGATAAAGTTAGTAAAAGTGCCCGCAGTGGCTGGTACGAAGTAGGAACTTCAAAATGTTTAATCCTTCCTTCCTCTGTGATAAAAGTACACTGTTCCCCTACTCTATTTCTCCAATAAGCTCCATAGACCATCACTCTAATTTAATTGTCCTGAGATGATCACAGAACATTAATACTGCAAGAGGCCTAAGTACTATTTGGTTTAATTCCTTCACGTTGAGGATGAGGGAATTGAGGCCCATAGAGAGGATTCCGGATTCCTAGGCCAGTGCTCTTTCAATTACTGTACCATATTTGATTTGTCTTCTGGTAACAAGGCACCGACAATTGTCTTTTCTCCCACATGAAGTACCATTTATGAGCCATCCCTGAAAAACTGGTGGATTCGAGGAAGGATGATGCTAGGAAGGAGCAAGAAGCCAAAGGTAGGTCATGGGGCCTCACCTGCACTGTCTGGATGACTGGGACCTGGTTCTTCAGGGTTGTTTTTTGGGCTTGCCACAATGCCTGGAGGTGCCCTGCGGGCAGCTGAAAGCACCATGTGAGCTGAACGCCCCAAAGTCCCTGGCTGAAGCTGCTTTAGGATAGTCTTAAGCTTTGAAATTTCTTTGGTGCTCCTAGAGGGAAACAGAGAGTACTTGGTTTCACTTAAAACAGAGATTCCATTTTGCTCACCTGTCAGTGGCATCTAACCAAGAAAGCCCATTTGGCCCATCCAGTGTGGCTTAGTGGTTGAGCGTTGATCCATGCACCAAAAAGTCTTTGGTTCAATTCCCACTCAGGGCAAAGACCTGGGTTTCGGGCTTGATCCCTGGTGGGGGCATGTGCTGGAGGCAGCCAGTCAATGTTGATGTTTCTCTCTCATCGATGTTTCTATTTTTCTCTCCCTCTTCCCTCCTTTCCCTCTAAAATCAATTAAAAACATATTTAAAAAAAGATTGCCAGTTTGATATATAGATATAGACCTAGTATATGTGATTAATTGGGGGAACCCAGGTGGGGCTTGCATATGACTTGGTAGTTTTCCTTTCCTAGGAGAAAGAACTGAAAAGTGGCTGGGAGAACTCCATTCTGGCAGCTACGTACGTCTGGGGATCTGGGAAGAATGTCCTCCGGATGGAAGGATTAGCCATCCAGGGGCTGGGATCAGACTCCGAAGCATTAGAAGAGCCCTTAAAAGAAAATGGAGAAATATGAAATACAGACATTCACCACCAGGGGACGCTGCCACCTAGTGCCACGCATACTCCCAATCCTGTTAATGAGTGAATGTATCTGCTATAGCTTGTACTAGGGCGCCTTTGCTTGTATGTGCACATTCTCTTCCAGCTCTAAGATGTGGAATTCAGTGATTTTGCATACTTTTATTCCCAGTGCTAAGGGCTTTGTCATGATCCTGAAAGACCTGGGATAAAAGAATACATGCTGTTGGGAAAAAAGGGCTTTGGGATTGCTATGATATGCAAACTTTTGAAAGCATATATATATATTATAAATATATATATATAAATTTGTACATACAGAAAACTGATTCATGTAGGTACAAAACTCAAATCACTTACCTCTATACACCAATGTGAGAGAAACAAATTATACACATATTTTAAAATATATTTTAAGCCCTGGCTGGTTTGGCTGTGGTTAGAGCGTCGGACTGTGGATCACAGAGTCCCAGATTCAGTTCCCGCTAAGGGCACTTACCTCAATTGCAGTTTGTCCCCGCTCGTGATTGGGGTCGTGTGGGAGGCAATCACTCGATGTGTCTCTCTCACATCGATGTTTCTCTCTCTCTTCCTCCCTCTCTCCCTTCCACTCTATCTGAAGATAAATGCAAAAATGTCCTTGGGTAAGGATAAAAAAATATATTTTTTTAAATAGTTCTACTTTGAACTATTTAGGAACTTTAAAAAAAAACTTTTTTTAAAAAATTGATTTTAGAGAGAGGGAGAGAAATAGAAATGTCGATGAGAGAGAACATCGATTGCCCACCCCCTGCATGCTTCCCACTGGGGATTGAGTCCACAACCTGGGCATGTGCCCTGGCCTAGAATGGAACCGGCAACCTCTCAGTCCATGGGTTGACACTCAACCTCTGAGCCACACTGGCTGAGCTATTTGGGAACATTTTTATTACTTTTCTCTTCTAAATACTGTTTAATAATAATATTGTTTAATTTCCATTATGACTTATTTTGTGAACGATTTTGTTTACCTGCAACTAAAAACCTACCAACTTTAGCTATCTATGAAAACCCTACCAATTTCTAGCCATCTATAAAGAGCTGTGCATATATGTATGTGTAGATAGATGACACGTCTCTTTCTAGAGTTCGCCACACAGGCATTTTATAAACCTCTGTCTTTCAAACTCCAGAATGTCTATGTATAATAATCACACAAAAAATAATTTCTACATAGATTTTATTTAATGCTACAATTTCTTAATTCTTTGCTAAAATTCATTTTATCTGTGTCGGTTTATCTGTAGCTATTTCCTTTTTTATTTTTCCAAATTTCCTTGAATTTAAAAAAATTAAGCTTTTTTTCTTTAATTTTCATCTCTGATTCTCCCATCAGATTTTTTTTTAAAGTAAGTGTCTTTCTTGTAAAGCATGACTTTGGCCTCATTCTGCAAGTTTGAGAAATAGTATTTTTATTCACATTCACTGTTCAATATTTTCTAATTGCCATTACAATCTCATCTTGGACCTAGCATTAGTTTTGAAATACTCTGTTTACCAGGGTTTTTATATTTTCTTTACCATGTCTTATACATTTTAGAGTGAATAGTATTATACAGGGTAACTAGCTGGATGTGTAGAGGTGGTTATTTAACTTTAACTCTAAATGAGATTAATCACTAGCAAATGAGCTCCCTAGCACAGGCTAAGTGGAGTCTGGTGGCCTAGGTTCAAATCCACTCCTAGACTTATTTAGAAGTGTGACCAGGGACATCCCACTAAACTGCTCTGGTTTCTGTTTTCTTTCCTGGAAAATCGGTGATCATTAAAGACCATACTTCATAGGATTAAAAGCTCTTATGTTTTGCTTTCACTATAATTTACATTAAAATGATACATTAAAAAAAAAAAGCCTATGGCATTTCAGACATCTTAAATTATAAAACTGAGTGCCATCATTTCATTTCCATGTATCAATCCTCTTCTGTAGAAATGTTTCAGGATCTCCTTTCCCCGTGGTTTCATTGAGCACCTGCAACATGTTTCATTCTGCTGTTGATGTTCAATGTCTTTCTGACATTACAGGTCTGGAGTTGCTGACCCTTCCTCCTCAACCCCACCATGGTCCCAAAGGTGCAGAGTAATTTAGATGACCAAAATGGAAGACTATGAAGGCTTTATTTATCCTACAATTAGGAAGACCATCTGTCCTGGTTTGCCTGGGACAGTTGTGCTTATTATGTCTATTGTCTCGGTATAATTATTAATAGCACTCTTTTTTTGCTTTCAAAGTGTCTCAGTTTGGATGGTAAATTTCATGATGACTCTATCTACAACTCCCCTCTGAAAGGTCAATTACATAATGAACACTTATACTCAAAGCCTACCTTGTTCCAGCAGCCAGGAATGCATTGTGGAACAAGACAAACAGGTTCCTAATCTCACAGAGTTTCCACTTCATTGAATAGCTCTAGCTCCGTTCACGTCAGCTCCCAGCACTGTGATGGCGAGACCTGGAGGAGTACAAGGAACTGCTTCCTCTGGTCCTTTTGCATTTTTCAGCCCTTTCCACGATGGAAGAGTAAATCTCAGACTAAGCTTTACTTGTCTCAGCTCTCTGGGTCTCTCCCAAAGCTATGCAAGAGCATCTACTCCTCCTCTGTCTGCTCTAATTTCATTTTCTCATCTCAATGTCCAGTCTCTTCTATAGTAACCACTATAGGAGTAGTAACTCTGAGGTTCATTCCTGGGAACTGAAATTCTTTTGGTTATATCAAATGTTTGAAACTTCTAAAAATGTATAGTGAGCATAAAAGCACTGTGATATAAGAAGAAGATACCTGATTTTTGGTCCGTACTCTGTTCTGACTCACTGTGTGAATTGGAATATGTACGTTTTCCTATCTGCAATGTAAAATGGGGTGGTTGGGACTTGGTGATCTCTAAGTAATTTTCCATCTCTAGAATTTTATGATTCTAGCTCTGTGTGATTATATCTTTATATTTGTCTGTGAGTGAATTGTGGTAGAGGGTACTTACTGGCTTGGAAAGATAAATGGAGACACCAGTGACAAGAAACAGGGAGTCAGAATAGGTTTAGGAAGAAAACAAACAAATAACTAGAAAACTGGCTGAGAAAAGGGAAGATAAATCGACTAGATAATTATACATATCCAGAAACCTCTACAACTTCTCTTAGGAGTACGTGTGTATTGTATAGGGAGAGAAAGCAGGAGAACACATAAAATTGCAGAGCATGTATCTAAGAATATAACTGGCTTTGCTAGGTAGGTGGCTCAGAGAAGAACAATGACAGAGGGACTGTAAGTGAGTCATGTGAGTTTTGGGTGCTCGATAGAAAAGTCTGATGAAAGCTAGAGTCCCCAGGAACCTAGAAATAAAGTATGAGATTAAGTTTGAATCATTGACCCATGCACCCAATCAGGGCACATGCCAAGGATGTGGGCCTGATCTCCAGTGGGGGGCATATAGGAGGTGGCCAATTGATGTTCTCTCTCATCGATGTGTCTCTCTCTCTCTAAAAATCAATTAAAAAAAAAAAAAAGACTTTCATTATGGTGAAAGAACAAATGGCCCAACAGCTTTGTGTACACTATATTGAAGGCTCACTCACTTGAATCTTTCACGTGTGAAGGGGAAGGAGAGGAGTTCACTCCTACCTGTAAGAAAGGGCGGCCAGCTCATTTATGTTTGTATTTGAATGTGTGTGTGTGTGTGTGTGTGTGTGTGTGTGTGTGTGTGTATGTGAATAACTCAATCAAACACCAGCTTCCTAACCAGAAACTGAAAAGGGTGGGAAAATATTAAGTCCTTGCTCCATCACTGTACATACCTGGCTCAGCCCAGAGCTCACAGGGGCTGAGGGATCCACCATGGGGTCATCTAAGGAGTCCAGAGAGGAACACACGCGTAGGAAGGCCAGGCCAAAGGACTGATGACGTGTAAAGGGTTGGGAGCAAGTCAGGCGAAGTCGATCCCATGACTCACTTAAGGCTGGAGCCAGGAAATCATCTCAAGGAAAAGAAAATGGGGGAAGAGAAAATGCATAAATGGGATGGAGAAAGGAAGAGAAGATCAATACTGAGGAGGGGAAAGAAAGGACCAAGGATTATACAGAGTAAACTCCAACAAAAGCAATAATGAAGGTCATTAGTAACTGACCCCTCAGGCCTTGGTGCTCAGGGTTTGGCTGTGCCAAGCAGGCCAGTCAGGGCCCTCTCAGATACCATCACTCCTCCCTGTCATAGTTCCATACCATTCCCAGCATGAATACATCTTCATTCTATACTTCTCCAGGGACTGAATCAACGTCTCATTTTAACAGGCGGTATCTGTAGAGTCGGGGTCTGGGGCGATCACTTGCTTAATGGATTTGCTGATTTACATCTACCCTTCCTGGACCAGGAGATCTCAGGCTCCCTCACAGCACTACATGCCCTATGCACTCACTCACAGTATCACACACCAGTACTACAAACTCTTCTCACCTTCAATTCTCAGCACTATCTAGTAGGACCTCATCTCCTACACCTGGTATGCTCCTCCCTTATCACTCTTCCTTCACACTACAAACACCTCCAATTTAAATGCAGACAAATCCTAAGACCCAGAGGCCAGGAATCAGATCTTATGTTTCTTCTGCGGTGTGTAGTGAACACAGAGATTTGCATAGAACATAACTTAGGAAACACTATATGCTATGTAACTGTAACTATCATATAGTCTTCTCTCACTTATGTAAACATACATCCTGCAGTAATGCTTACATTCACATTTACATTTATACAAACAAAAACACACTGGTCACAAATGTGGTTTCTACATCAGGCTTCACGGAATTGTGCTGAGTGTAAATATAAATGATAGCTCAAAAATACCCCAAGGTATCATGTATTCTCATCATAGAGAACTCACTCACAAACATACCATATAGTTGTTCACTCATTAACTACCCCGTCCCCCAATAGATATAACTAAGCCCCTGCAGAGGTTCCCTCTCACAACATACACCTACCAGCTCTTACAGCCTTCTATGGTGCCACAGCTCTTTTCCTCAAAATCTCTCTCTCCCTCAGTCTCTCCCATTTCTGCTTTGGCACTCCTTACCTTCTTTAAACATGCGGACCCCTGAGCGGTTTTTCCCCTGCTTTGAATCAGCCAGGGACATTAGCATAGTTGCAGGGAGCAGGGTGACAAAAGGTCTGTCCAGGGACCAGGAAGAACGGCCCACATCAATCTGTAGAAAAGCACAGCCACAGTTACCTGGGGACAAAAGGTCGAGAGAAGGATAAGGGTTATAGGATGACAGGGACTCCCCTGACTACACAAGGGAATCAGGTAGGAAGAGGACATTTCTCCATTCTAGAGCTAATTGGCAGCCCAAAAAGGTCAAACAACACAATTAGCCAGTAACTGAAGTGAAACGAGACCTCAGCCCATTAAATGACAATGTGAAGGTAGGTTCACCATGCTTCAGTTATAAAGAAACCTTTCCCTGACTGAAGGGACCTGCTGCTTCCCTGTCCTCTGGCAGGCAGTGCAAAACTAACACACTCTCTCTCTCTTTAGATAGAGTGGGAAGGAGGAAGGGAGAGAGAAAAAGAGAGAGAGAAACATCAATTGGTTGCTTCCTGCATGACCCCAACCGGGGCCAGGGATTGAACATGCAACTGAAGTATGTGTCCTTGACTGGGCATCAAACCCGTGACTCTTTGGTCCACAGGCCAATACTCTTAACTGCTGAGCCAAACCAGCCAGGGATAGTCTTGTCTCTTAAACCCTTGCTAGGGAGGCCCTGGCCGGGTAGTTCAGTTGGTTAGAGTGTCATCCCGATACACCAAAGTTGTAGGTTCGATCCCTGGTCAGGACACATACAAGAATCAACCAGTGAATGCATAAATAAATGGAACAACAAATCTCTCTCTCTCAAAAAAAAAAAAAAAAAAAAAAAAAAAATTCCTTGCACCCAGCCGGTGTGGCTCAGTGGTTGAGCATTGACCCATGCACCAGGAGGTTGCTAGTTCGATTCCCAGTTAGGGCACATGCCCAGGTTATGGAACAAATCCCCAGTGGGGGGCATGCAGGAGGCAGCCAATGAATATTCTCTCTCATCGATGTTTCTCTCTCTCTCTCCCTCCTTTCCCTTCCTCTCTCTAAAATCAATAAAGAAAAAAAAAGGAAAACAAATTCCTTGCTAGGGAGCCTGACATCTCTCTGTCCTGACAGAGCTGAGACCAATGGTATTTGTTGGCTCTCTATTCCAGAGAAGTCTAAGGCCACCTTTTCAACCCATAAACTCCGACAGAGCCTTCCCAGATTAGCCTGCACAATTTATCCCCAGCATCCTCTTGACACTGATATTTAGAAGTATATATAGATTCTTTTTGTTGGCATTTATAGTAATGTCAATATTCTTCACCCAGACCACTCAGATCAAAGCAGGGGAGGTATGTTGCATAATTCAAGGAGTGCCATTTACATTCAATTCTATGTGAATAAAACCCTTACAGTTTTTGCCAACACCACATACCTGCCCCAAGGGCAAGAGCCACATCTCTCCTTCACACCAGTTAGGGCTTATTCCATGAAGGCTGCTCAGCCAGACTAAATTGAGACATTTTGGTGGAGCATTTGGAGGACAATGTTACTCCTGTGTTCTCCTGCAGAGGTTCCTAGGCCACAGAAAACTCACTCACCCACATCGATGTAGCCAATGGGCACTGCCCTCTCCAGCTGTAGTTCTAATTTTAGTTGCCCACTCTTGTCCTGAGGGCAGCTGAGCCAAGGTCCCCTCTGTCTATCTGGGTTCAGCAAGTTCTCCACAGGATACTTGGGATCCTAAGTCAGAAAGAGGAGACAATAAAGAACCCTGCTGAGCCTAAGGGAACAAAGGATGCCCCTGAATGAGGGATCCCTATACTCCCAAACCTTTCTAGGCATCCCAACATAATAGGAAAGGAACTAGATGGGGACGCAGCTATCACATACCAAGGGATTTATAGACACCACTTATCTCTCTTTCATTTACCAGACTACCTCATTTGATCCTCAGAACAATTTTAGGTGGTTACTATTATTGCTTCTTAGTTAACAGATCAATAAACTGAAGCTTGGGTTCAGAAATTTACCTAAGGCCAAGAGGCTGAATAACCAGTCTGAGTTAGAACTTCCAGGTTTCTGAATCCAGAGCTCTTAATCACATTATACTATTTTTTCTTTCTTTTTTAAAATCCTAACCTAAGGACATGCTTAGATAGAGGAAGGGAGGGAGAGAGAGAGAAAGAAGCATTGATCTTTTGCACATGCCTCGACTGGACTGAACCCACAACCCAGGTACGTGCCCTGACCAGGAATTGAATAGGCAACCCTTCGGTGCATAGGATGTAGCTCAACCAACTGAGCCACTCATACCAGGCTACATTTATTTTTACTTCATTTTTTTAAATCCTCACCCAAGGATATGTTCATTGATTTTAGAGAGAGAGGAAGGGCGAGAAAGATATAAATATTGATGTGAGAAACGACTGGTTGTTTCCTGTACGCTCCCCAACCAGGGATCGAACACAAAACCTAGGTATATGCCGAGTGGGAATTGAACCCGCAATCTTTTTGGTGTATGGGATGATGCTCCAATCTATTAAGCCACCCAGCCAGGACCTATTTTTTATGTTTATAAGGTGTTTTCACAGACATTTATTTGTCTTCAAAGTAACCTTCTGGGATAAGAAAGGCAAAGATTTTTATTCTAAGTTTACAACTGATAGTTAGAAATAAAGTGATTCATTCAAAGGCTGCAACAGCGATAATGAGATAAAAATTCTCAGTTCTAACTCAAAATCAGATATTTTCTCGGTGGAAAGGTCTTGAACAAGCTACTTTCTCTCTGGATCTAGATTTCTTCATCCTAAGTAAAGTGGGGTGACTAGACTCATAATTTTCAATCTTGCTTTTTGTTCTAGCAATAAAACCCTTCCTTTTAACTGGTCTTATACTAACGTGAGTATGTGTGTTTTCAATAAATAAAAGCACAGCTCTGGTTAAAGCACAGTTGGGGACGGCTGGAGACAATACACTTGTCCCTTTTCCCTTCAACTTCTTTTTTTTTTTTTAAATCCTCACCTGAGGATATTTTTCTATTTATCTTTAGGTAGAGAGAGAGGGAGAGAAAGAGAGAAACACCGACACGAGAGGGACACAATGACTGGTTGCCTCTTGCACGACCCAACCAGGAGTGGGGATGAACCACAACCGAGGTATGTGCCCTTAGCTGGAATTGAACCTGAGACTCATTGGTCCAGGGTCGACGCTCTACCACTGAGCCAAACTGGCCAGGGCTCCTTTCAACTTCTAGAAGTACAGTCTGAAAACCACAATAGTAGAAGGTAGCTAATGTTCTCTAGCATTTTATAAGGCTAAGACTGAAGAAAACCATTTAAACTGACCATGGAGGCAAGGAGGGTAAGGATAACTTTTATTCTATTTCACTTAGAATAGGAGCCAATACAGTAGTTCCTAAAGAAGCTCTAAGGATCTTTCTGAAATGTGTGGAGATGTTTTTGTTGGTTATAATGACTGGAAAGCAGAATGTCATTAGGGTCTAGAGGCCCTTGATGCTAGATATGCCATCATGCAAATGATACTGTTATAAAATGCAGGCTTGTCTGACCCAAAATGTCAACAGTACCCCCTGAGAAAGACTAGAGTAACAGAATGGAAAGAGCAGAGAGGATGGGTAAATGGGCAGGGAAATGACAGCAGAGGAAAGGAAGGGTGGTCCTTAATCACCACAGTGGACCAGTGCTGGTCCTGGCTCTGACCAGGGTAATCAGGATTTCCTGAATGTAGACTTTTAGAGAGGAGGTTGAGATCACCTTTGCTGATGGTGCTGATATCCTCACAGGTCAGGGATGACTTTGTGTGTCCTGGTCTGCCCTTAATGACAGAGTGACTAAACTTCCCTTCTGGGAACCCTGGTATAGACTTTGGTCCTATAGCCTTGATAGGTCCCTCCAAACTAAGGGTGGTGTTTCCTTCTTTACCTTTATTCCTGGGAACACTGTTTTTAGGTGTCCTGCATTGCTCTGGGAACAACCTGAGTGCAAGAGTTTTGTTTCCTCCCTTTGACTCTGGACTCTCAAAGAAAGGACGATGTCTCTTCTATTAGATTGGGAGTTTCCTGAAAGTGGAGCCAAGTCTTTTATTTTTTTCTCTCACTCCTTTCAGTCACCAAGAAAAAACCCCATGCCTGCTAGTTAATATACCTGAGAGGAAAACGACACCACGTGGCTGATCTTCACAGGAGCCATGGTAGGCCCAGCAGTTGTCCTGAGTACAAGGCAAAAATCTTTTCTCCTGAGATTTCTTTGGTCACCACTTCAGCACTGTCCACATTTTGGTCCCATCAGTTCCCAGAAGAGAAAGAATCCTCATATTACTCCTGAAGAAGAGAACAAAAGAAAAATAAACTAGCCATGGCTGTTTCTCTGGTAACAGAAGTTATTTGCAGCAGTCAGACTGTTACTGATTACCATGACAGGCTTAGTGGGGACGGGGGCAGGGACCAGATCTACACCAAGTGATGAGATTCCCACAAATGGAAACAACTAGAATGCAACTGCAGGGCAACAGAGCAACAAGTACAAAAAATATATCGACAGGTTAATGTTGGATGTATATGTAGGTGAGTTCCCAAGGGCAAGGATTGTGTCTTAAATCATTCATCTTTATATTCCCAGAGTCTGGCATGTAGTAAAGATGTGCAACAAATGTTCAAGTAAACATGATACAAGCTTCTTTTATTTATTTATTTATTTATTTATCCTCACCCGAGGATAAATTACCATTTATCTTCAGGTAGGTTAAGAGGGAGGGAGAGAGGGAGAGAGAGAGAAACATCAATGTGAGAGAGACACATCCACCGGTTGCCTCCTGCGCGACCCTGACCAGGGCCAGGGATGAACCGCAACCAAGGTATATGCCCCTGGCCGGAATCAAACCCAGGTCTCATTGGTCTGCGGGCCGACACTCTAACCGCTGAACCAAACCGGTCAGGGCAAGCCTCTTTTATATATTTTTTTATTTATTTTTTATCCTCACCCGAGGACATTTTTCCATTTTTTTGTACAGATAGAGTGGGAGGGAGAGAGAGGAAGAGAGAGAGAGGGAAACATCCATGTGAAAGGGACACATCGAGTGGCTGCCACCCGCACGACCAACCAGGGCCAGGGACAAACTGCAACCGAGGTACATGCCCTTAGCGGGAACCGAACCCGGGTCTCTCCGGACCGCAGGCGGACACTCCACCTGCTGAGCCAAACCGGCCAGGGCAAGCCTCTTTTATTTTTGTTTTTCCTTCCCATAAAATACATCTTCCTAATTTAGGTTTGCATTAAGTTACTACTCTATTAGAAATCTTCAGTGGCCCGATGTATACGAATCCCTTGCTACATGGTGGGTACTTGACAAATATTAATTCAGCTTGGCCCCTCAAATATCTACAATGTAGATCTCTACATTTCCTGTTTTATCTCTTATTCCTTTCATCAGAGGATTTTTCTTTTTTTAAATCCTCTGAGGACATATTTTCCATTTTTTATTCAGATAGAGTGGGAGGGAGAGCAAGGAAGAGAGAGAGAGAGAGAGAGAGAGAAATATCGAGAGAAATATCGATGTGAAAGGGACACATTGAGTGGTTGCCACCCACATGACCCAACCAGGGCCGGGGACAAACTGCAACCGAGGTACGCGCCCTTAGTGGGAACTGAACCCAGGTCTCTCTGGACCGCAGGCTGACGCTCTAACCGCTGAGCCAAACTGGCCAGGGCCATCAGAGGATGTTTTGCCTGACTACCAGTGTTTTGTTTACTTATTTAATCCTAAGAGTTCATATGGATATTTGTAATTTTGTCTTTTGCTAAACTTTTTATGGAAAATTTTAAGTATATGCAAAACTTACATATTAGTATAATGCACTCTCATGCGTCGATCACCTAGCTTCAACAGTTCCTTGGTCAGAGGTGTTTTAAAGTGGTCTGACCCTGGCTGGTTTGGCTTAGGGGTTGGAGCATTGGCCTGCGGTCTGGAGAGACCCAGGTTCGGTTCCTGCAAAGGGCAAGTACCTTGGTTGCAGTTTGTCCCTGGCCCTGGTTGGGCCGTGTGGGTGGCAACCACTCGATGTGTCCCTTTCACATCGATGTTTCTCTTTCTCTCTCTCTCTCTGTCTCTCTGTCTCTCTCTCCCTCCCTCCCTCCCTCCCTCCCTCCCTCCCTCCCTCCCACTCTATCTGAACAAAATATCGAAAAATGTCCTTGGGTGAGGATAAAAAAAATTTTTTTAAGTGGTCCGAGTGTCTGTAGGTGGATCTTTCTCCAAATATTTATACACTACCCTTTTTACTCATGTTTGTTACCTACCTGGCCCCTGAATATAAGTCTATGACTCCTGATATACTCCTGGCCATAATGGTCTTCTTGTTTCCTTTCATTCCCAAATATTTTCCTCACCTCCAAGATTTTGCTCATGCCATTGCCTCTGCTTGGAATGCTCTTTTCCTTTCTCATTTGTCAAATTGGAAGAATCTTTGATGCTCAAATGTCACCTCCACTCTGCTCAACCAGCTCAAGGTGATAGCTCCATCCTCTCAATTCTGTATTACATTATCTGGGTATATGCCTTATGTCCCTTGACTAATTGTAAGCTCTTAGAGAACAGGCTTCATGTCTGATTAATTTTCTGTATCCTCAATGTAAGAGGAAGAAATTTATAGTTCTAGATTAGCAAATATCTGATGAATGAATAAAGGACCATAAAAATTGAGCTCCAAAGGGCCAGCAGTTACGGTGTGCTCACAGTGTGGTAGTAATATTCTTAGTGAAAGGCATCTCAAGGTCAAGCACTCCCCACAGGTCACAGACGATATGGTGCCAAGACTTCAAAAAGAGAAGAATACAAGATGAGTCCTGGGTTACCTTTCTAGGCTGCCAGATTAATTAGAGCTGATCATTCCCATAATAGGAACTCACTGAACATTCAACAATTTTTCCTATTTTCTGCTAGATATTGAAAATATAAAAATAAGTAAGATATGATCTCTGTTTTGAAGAAATTCCCAGTATACGTTTGTGATCTGATGTGAAAACTCCATCCTCTCATCACCCATCTATTGATATCTGACCTAGTCAGCCCCAAAATTATATTCTAGGCTTGGAGACCCTGAAGCTGTCAATGTTGGATATTTCATTTAGTTAATATTTTTGGGATTGTCTGGTAGGTATCAGGCTCTGTACTAGGTGCTGGATACACAGTGGTGAATAAGACATATACAGTCTTTTTCATGAAGATCACCATATATCAAATTGCCTATAGTTATCCAAGGATTAAGAACTTTCTGAGTTCCTTGCCCAAGCATATGCCTTGCTGTTCTTGTTTTCTAGCAATGGCTTGTTTACCCTCTTTGTCTCCCCACTAATTAGTGAGCTCTTTGAAGATATCGATTTTTGACATGTTCACCATCTCCCACACCTCAAAGAGGGGTGAAACACAGTGGGCATAAATAGCCATTGAAAAGAGTAATTAATAAGTCAATTAATATAATTCAAATCAGAATTTCAGCAGAAGTTTCTGGCAAACATGACAAACTGATTAATCAATAAAGGGCCTCAAATTGCTAAGACCATTCTAGAAAGATTAAAGAAGTGGGTTTCAACTCCTTTGAAAAGAAGAGCAAAGTCACAGTAATTAAAACGTACTGTCTAGAGAAATAACCTCATAGATACCAGAAACAGACTCTTATAAATGGGAATTTGCAATCTGCTTAATTGATTGTAAGAGAATAGAATCATGATTCTGTTAGATAAAAGATGAATAAATGGTATTCAGAAAACTGGCTCACAGTGTGAAGAAAAATGAAAGTAGATCCCTACCTCATAACATATTTTAAAAATTATACTCAAATGGATCAAAGATGGAAACATGAAAAATATTTTAAGGTAACACAAACAGGGTTGAAATACAAATGAATGACTAAAAGAAGATATTTGCAAACCATAAACTTTGATAGTATTCAGAGTATATATCTATTTTATTTTTATTTTTTAAAGTTTCTTTTTAAAAAATTTTTAAAATCCTCATCTGAGGACATTTTTGCATTTATCTTCAGATAGAGCAGGAGGGAGAGAGGGACAAAGAGAGAGAGAGAAACATTGATGTGAGAGAGAGACACGTCGAGTGGTTGCCACCCACACAACCCCAACTGTGGCTGGGGACAAATTGCAACCGAGGTACATGCCCTTAGTGAGAACCGAACCCGGAACTCTCTGGTCTGCAGGCCGACGCTCTAACCGCTGAGCCAAACTGGCCAGGGCCAGAGTATATATTTTAAAGTAGCACACATCAGTAAGAAAAAGGCAAGCAGTTCAGTAGAAAACTGGAGTGAAGATATAAACATACAATTCACTTAAGATGAAATCTGAATGACTAAAAACTCATATTAAAAAACCCTTGGCCTCCCTAGTAATAAAGAAATTGCAAATATCTCGTCATCTAAGACTGAAAAAAAGGTCAATGTTTACAATATAAAGGACTAGCAATAATGTGAGGAAATGGGTCCTCTCATAAACACTCTCAGCACATCTTAAATCTGACCAGCTACATTTCTAGTAGTTAACTTATTTATTTGACCAGTGAAGCTCTAGAGGGACTCATGTACACAAAAAGACACATACAATGCACCTTGGCAAGCGTGGCTTAGTGGTTGAATGTCGATCCATGCACCAAGAGGTCGCTGGTTCAATTCCCAGTCAGGGCACAAGCCCAGGTCGTGGGCCCAATCCCCAGTGGGGGGCATGCAGGGGGCGGCCAATTGATGTTCTCTCTCATGGATGTTTCTATCTCTCCCTCTCGCTTCCTCCCTCTCTCTAAAACCAATAAAGAAAAAAAAAAAAAATGAGGAAGCAGCCCTGGCTGGTTTGGCTCTGCGTTTAGAGCTTTGGCCTGCAGACCTGCGAGTTCTATTGCGGTCAAGTGCAGGTACCTAGGTTGCAGGTTTGATCTCCAGCCCCAGTAAGGGTGGTGCAGGAGACAACCAATCAATGTGTCTCTCTCACATGAATGTATCTCTCTCACATGGATGTTTCTCTCTCTCCCTTTCTCCCTTCCACTTTATCTGAAAAGCAATGGGCTCAGGTGAGGATTAAATAATAATAATAAATAGCCCTGGCCAGTTTGGCTCAGCGGTTAGAGCGTCGGCCTGCGGTCCAGAGAGACCTGGGTTCGGTTCCCGCTAAGGGCATGTACCTCGGTTGCAGTTTGTCCCCGGCCCTGGTTGGGTCATGCGGGTGGTGACCACTCGATGTGTCCCTTTCACGTCGATGTTTCTTTCTAAAAAAAAAAAAAAAAATAATAATAATAATAATAATAATAAATAAATAAATAAATAAATAAAACAAGAAAGCAAATGGATCATAATGTCAATAGTCAATTTGGGGTAATGGGTATAGAGTTTATAACACTCTCTGTATTAAGTTTCACATAATAAAAATAATTCCCATTTTAAGTAAATGAGATGGCTGTGGATAGTGTAAATATTGCCCTGTAATTTCCTGACAGCCCCCAAATGGTTGACTGGCATTCTACTACCTGTGAGCCCACAGGTCCTCCTAGCTCTATTCACCGGATAGCTCCAGCAGACACGGCCAGGGGGAGTGAGCAGGGGCTGCAGGCTTGCGAGGTGTCTGTCCCGTCGGGATGTACAAATAACAGGTTGTTGGAAATGAATTACTAAGCTACAAGTTGGGGTGCAGCACAGTGAATAAGGTGTATAAGACGGGGGCAAAAGGTAGGAGCTGGAGACGCAGTATGTGGGACAGAAAAGAGTACCGAGATGTGTGACGTGTAGCCGAAGACGGGAGAACCGAAGAGGTTTGGGGACCGTGGAGATACCGCAAGGCTTTTCGCCTTCTGGAGCCTAAACCACGAGGCCACTTCCACGGCTCCTCGGAACGCGCTGTTCTGGTCACCCCTCCTTTCTTTCGGCCACCACCCTCCCATCAACAACCCCCAACGCCGCTCACCAGGGACAATGAACCTCGAAGAGCCACCGCAGCCTCAGATCGTGGACCACAAACTCATTCTCCCGCCAATTCGGCCCCTTGACCTACGCCTTCTGACCTAGAGCGCTACTCTTCCGCCTCTCGAAACCCGGGAATTCGTTCCGGGGCCTCAAAAGTCTCTGTTTCTGAAAAGTGACTTCTACCGAAGCAAGAAGGCATGTGCCGTGACCAGTAAAATACATTAATGTGTTATATGTATATTTTCATTCACTACAAATCTCCCTTCGACAGAGCGGAACTGAAACTTCCGGGTCAAGTTCAATGCATTCTGGGAAATGTAGGTCTTAGTCTCCACGCCTCGCTCCTTGGAGTCTAGAGTGAGGGAGTGTCGTGAAAGTTGACGGTTTATGGAACCTTCCCTTTGGTTCTCCAAAGGGGAGAATTGTTGAAATATTTACCCTGAAAATAATACAAGCCCAACTTCTCATTTTCCAAGAACCCTCCCCCGCAGAAGCTTGGAAGTGCAAGGGAACCGTCCCTTCTTGACCTTTAAGTGAGTACCAGGAGATGGTCTCTTAGTCCCTGTCAGGTCGTGGCCTGTCTTGATGCCTCGCCCCCTCCGTCGGAGCCTACACCGCTGATTGGCTAGGAACGCTTGAGCTGCGGAAGCAGCTGGCTCGCGGGCGGACGGAGGAGGGGGAGAGCTGTGAAGATGGCGGCAGTGGTGGAAGTGGAGGTTGGAGGAGGTGCTGCCGGGGAACGGGAGCTGGATGAGGTAAGAGCTGAGAGTCGAGGAGAGATTCAGCCTAAAACTGAAAGGAGGAGAAGGGTGGTATCTTGAAATAATTCGTTACCCAGGATAGACGAAGTCCGGAGAGGGAAAGGAGCTAACTAGGGGGCGGATGCACGGAGAGGGAAATCAGAGGTACCTTGAACTCCGGGACGTGAAGGCGGTCTTGGGGATAGACGACTTGCAGTAACCTGAAGGGTGGAGGTGGAGGACAAGGAGAGAAGCCAGAGGGGTGGGGGTGTAAAATGTGAGGTTATTAGCTGGGGCCCTAGGGTAGGACTAAAGGGGTGAGAAGGAGGGGCGTGGACTTCTGCAAAGGAAGGTCGAGCTTTACCTGTGCAAAAGGAGTGACTAGGTTTCAAGTGGGGATTGGGGATGCGGACCGGGGAAGAGTGCTAATCTACAGTAATATAGGTTTGAGTTATTTTTATGTAAGAGCTGTTTTACTTATCCTACAGTCTGGGGGTTTGTGCATAAGATGTGCTCAGTAAAGTTTGGGTCAACTAATGAAAGAACGAATTGGTGAATGAACAATTGTAGAACGGAATTCATCCATTCACTCATTTAACAGACATTAAGTATCACCTTTGTGCTGAGTCCAGGCCTAAGTGATAGGGACACAAGGGGCCCTCCCATAACAGAGCCCACAGTCTAGTGGTGGAGAACACACAAGACCAGTCATTACATCAAAGGTATACTATAATCGTGGCACTGAGAAGAGGGGACCTATTCAATTTGGGCTGGGGAAGGCTTCCTGGAGGAGCTGGGCTTTTTTTTTTTTTTAATGTTTTTATTGATTTTAGAGAGAGAGAGGGAGGAAGGGAGAGAGAGAGATAGAAACATCAATGAGAGAGAAACATCAACACCAATCCACTGCTTCGTGCATGAGCCTGCAACCTGGGCATGTGCCCCAACCGGGAATCAAACCAGTGACCTCTTGGTGCATGGGTGGATGCTCAGCCACTGAGCTGCACTGGCTGGGTGGCACTGATTCTTAAAGGGTAAATGAACTCTGTCTCCCTCCTATACTTATGAGTTCTTTGAGGGTGAGTTTCTTGAGGGTATATGTCCCCTTTACCTAGCTTATAGACACTTAACAACTACTGTATTTAGTTACCAGAGGTCCTTGAAGGAATCAGGAGGAGGGAGATACTGAGTTTGAAGGGAATTAAGAGACAGTGCAAAGAAGCAGAGCGAGAAGGTGAAAAAGGAAAGGAAAAAGATTGAGGCCAAAGATACATTCATAGCTAGGAGTGCTTATGGTCTTGCATGTGACAGCACATGAACAGCACTGAGGAATAGGAGGAAGGGAATTGTTTGTTAGGAATGGAACCAGTGGGATGTCTGGGGGGTCAGGATCTTAGAGGCCCTGCTGTGTTTTGGGTGGTGGGGTGGGTGAAGAGAATTGAGGATGAGGCTCAGAGAAAGGGAGTAGAGTAGACTTGAAAAGCAGACAGTTGTTTGGTGGTGGGATGACTTGGAGGATTTGGTTTACCTGACTGGGATCACTAAGGGTGCGGGAGGAGACTGAGAAACGGACAGGTGGTCATAGCAGGAGTTGGTTTTTAAAGAAGATTTTAGTACCATACCTCCCAAACACTAGAGACTAGAGGTGTTTGGATACCACTTGGTGAGATGGTTGTGGAAATGACCTCCAAGGCCTGTTCTAGCCTTAAGTTCTTATGATTATGGTTGACTGTGGTTCACAGATATATTTGAAAGCACTGTGAAAAAGGTAAATACTGTATTGAAGTTATTGCGTATGGTTTGTTAGTCATGGGCTCTCCTTTGAAGGAGCCTGATTTACGTTACATTTTCAGGGTTCTTGATGTAAGACAGTTTTTTTGTTTTTAATCTTTGCTTCTTAGCTTTTCTTTTCTAATTGTTTTCAGAGCTTAAGAACTTCCAGTAGCATAATGTACTTCCAGAGTGTCATGCCTAGAGGTCTACTTTATATGTAACACAGGCGTTCATTTCACACACTTCTGTTACCTGTTACTGAGAAAGGATAATTTGTTGTCTGGAAATTCTGTATGGACTGGTTCTGTCCTTTTCTTTGTGTTTTTAAGAAAGTAAGTCTGACCCCTGGCTAGTTTGGCTCAGCAGTAGAGCGTTGGCCCATGGACCAATGAATTGCAGGTTCGATTCCAGCCAAGGGCACATACCTCGGTTGCGGTTCGTCCATGGCCCTGGTTGGGGTCGTGTGGGTGGATATGTTCCTCTCACATTGATATTTCTTTCTCTCTTCTTTTCTCTCCCTCTCTCTCCCTCCCACTCTATCTGAAGATAAATAGAAAAATGTCCTCAAGTGAGGATTTAAAAAAAAAAAAAAGAAAGGAAGGAAGAAAGAAAAAGTCTGAGAAGCAGTCAGTCATCCCTTCAGGCACTAAACAAAGTTTCTCAAAACAGAGGTCTGGTCTGGCAGGCCTTAGTTTGAGAGTTTCTACTAATGTCTCCCCAGCTGTTTCTTAGCAGCCTTAACTAGTGAAAGAAGGTGAAATCTATCCTTCAATTTGTAATTGTGGGGATCTGTGTGTTATGCACTGGGAAATCAAAGATGAGTAAGACAGGATCTTTATCAACTTACAGTGTAGTGAAGAGACAAGCAAATAGCCCCTTACAATACAAGATAATTGCTATAATGGAAGTGTATAACAAATTTGGTGAGACACAAGAGACATGCACTTGGTAGTTGGCTAGGGGGAGTCAGTGACGTCTTTATGATAGGGATGCGTTTACAAAGAAGCAATGATTTGCATGTAGCATCAGAGTTGCCTTCCTGTAGGACTTTCTGCTTGGTAGGGACTGTACTATGGAGTCCAGATTATAAAAGAGTAATGAGTAGCCTAGCAGAAATGCAGTTGGTACTCGTTGTCACTCCTTTGGAAAGATTGCACATGCTGTGGTTTGTTCTTCAGAATGTTGTACCTATGTTTTTCAATATCAGATACCATTAGTATGGTAAGTAGTCTGGAACAGCAGCCATCACTTCACTCACGATCCTTTCCTCCTCTTTTGTCTTTTTTCATTATTAGTTTCTCTAATAGTCGAGGTAAGCTGGGCTTTGCTAACTGCTTCTCCTGTTTTAGAGAAAGGAATAGAAAAGAGGGCTTAAGAAAAAAATTACCAGTAAAAAAGGTTATTGAGTCCTTACCATAACCCAGCCCCTGTTTAAAGCCCTTTACTTTCATTATCTCATTTATTGCTAACAGCCCTGTGAGGTAGATGGTGTTAACTACATTTTATAAGTGAGGAAACTGAGGCTAGAGAGGTTGAGTAACTCTCCTAGAATTCCACAGTCTGTAATTGGGGAAGTGTAGATTCCAACCCAGGTCTGCCACTGCTGTACCACATTTAGCCCATGAGATGCCTAGCACCTTGATTCCTTTTCTTTCTTCACTATTGTGCTCTGGGGGTAGGTATTTAAAACAGTATGGTCTCAATTATATGTGAAAATTGATATAATACATTTGATAAGTGATGTGTTTCAAAAGAGCATTTTGAGTCTCATATTTGTGAGGTAAGTTTTATTAGTATTCCCTATTTATGATCAAGGAAGTTGAGAGTCAGAATATTTGAGACATGCCAACAGTCTTGCAACTACTAAGTGGTATCACTAAGATTTAAACCCATTTTTGTAGATTCCAAAGTGTTTGTCTCCCCTCAGTTTAAAGACCTAAACTGTAGATTCATCTTACTAAGCTACCCCTGTCTTTATATACAAAAGTCTTATCTCCAAAACATGAAGCAACATTTCATTCCTGAGAGGTTCAAAGCACAGGCTAACAAAAGTAATATACAGGTCCTTTAATTTACTGATAATCTGATTCTGTTGAAATCTTGGTCATGAGGAGTGTTTAGCCCAGTGGTAGTTAGGGAGATGGGTCTGGCTAGCTCAGGCTTGTGATGACTGGCTAAGCTCAGTTCTTTCTCTCAACTTGCCAACCACAGGGTGCTTGAGCATGTTAAGAGGATAAAGCCTTGGGTACTGGCTAGGAGGCCCAGAAACAGACCTATTCTTGGAGCCAATGAGTTCCTCCTGGAAGGGGTAGCTGGCCAGCTCCTGAGAGGAATTGGAGGCATCATCTTGGCACAGAGAGAGCTGTCTTGGAAGTTAAGGTAGAAACGCACTTCAACATCCATTCAGGTCCAGCGCGTCCGCCTGGCCATTGCCTGTGAATTTTGGATGTGTCCACTCCTAGTGCTTGTTCATCTGCTAAAATGATGTGACGTGCAGATCAGTGAGTAGTTTCCAATTCAAGTTCAAACCAAGTAGCCCAGCCTACAACTAAAGGTATGATTGTCTCAAGTACGTAATTTACCTCTCCTGATCCCTGTTTTATTCTTGCTAAAAGAGGAAATTGGACTAGATCGGTAGTTTTTAAACCTTAATGTAGTTACACAACCGTTTATTCAAACAGAATCTCACTTTGAAGCCTTATGGTCCTTAAAGGGACTCAGAGAATGTCTTGGGTGTCTCAAGGATCTTTC